TTTAAGGTGATGAGTAGTTTCCAAATTTTCGTATATTTGCTTAAATAATGAAAAATTATATTAATGAATTGGCAACTCAACTACAACCACAGCTGCCACTAGATTCTCACATATTTTGTTTCATTATTTAAACAAATATACGAACATTTGGAAACTTCTCACCACCTTAAATAACAATGAATAGTTTATTATTATAAAAATTCTACCTTTGGTTTGTTTAATAATTATCCTGACATTGATACAGCCGAAAACAGATCCACCAATCACAATCGCATATTTTACATAAAGCCTTCCTTTACCAAGTATTAGCCAGGGAAAATTGCGATCACAACACCCAGGGTTGAACTCTTAAGTAAATCAACCAAACAAATAAAATACATGAACATGGGCTAGTGTTGATCAAGTCTGTTAGTCGAGGTTTAAAGGGCTCCCACTTGGTGCTGTCACGTTGCTCTGCCATGTTAGATGGAGGTTTAACATCTAACGGACCCCCGATATAACGGATTTTCCTTTATATAGCTCCTTCCCTTATTTTATCCTCTTCGTCATTATCGGCTTATTAACCTCTTGGGCGGCCGTAAGGAATATTATAAATAACTAGTAGTCTTAAGGGAGTAATTTAATTCTCTATGAGTGGGATGTTTGTCCTAGAGATGGCGCTGGATCGCTGGTGTGTCACTGTCGGCTGTCTGATTAAAAAAATTGTGCTTCAACGTGTGCTAGGGGACGTGACAGGAAAAGGTGAGGTCATAGTTCATGTGGTTGATTCATAAGCAGTGAAGGTTTAATTACAGTTTAATTTATAATTTTACCGCTTAGCTTACTAGGCATTCGAGCGGCAGGTCTCTTATTTGTAACTTTGTTATAAACTTCATTGTTCAGTAGCACCCATCGAGTAACTTCCCCTTTTGTATGTAGTTGTTTTACTGTATTTTAGTTATTTACTGTATTACATTTGTTGCCACGATACGAATATGGTGAACTTTATAGTTGCCATCAGTAATTTTGACGATTCTAAGACACTTCTTCAGTGGCATTTCTGGCACAAATTACGTAGCCTATATGCGAGATATTTAATGGTTAATATGTAGGACTAACCCGTTAGCGAGTTATTTTTATTGCCGTTTATTTTCTTACAATATTTTCATCACTGAGCACTGATATGATAATCGTTTATTTTGGAAATAGTTCGTTTCATAGATAATTAGGTGCCTAGGCGTGCACTAGATTATCTTGCGGGTGGTAATGAGGCTGCTCTTGCTGAGGGGTTTTTCCTAAGCCCGGGGCAGTTTGTTTTTCAGCATGTCGCGTGAAGTTTGTCGCCGATCTTACATTGATGTAATTTGTGAATTTAGGTAGAGACAATGAGACCCTTCAATTGTTTAAAGATCACAGCATTGTTCCTTTACATAGAGACTGTTTATTTTCTTACATTATTTTCATCAGTGAGTTCTGATATGATAATCTTTTATTGTGGAACCCTCCAACACAGTAAATCACTTCGCTGCCCGGGGTGCATAGCGCCCATGCAGCCATATCATCGGGTCAGACTAATTACCCAAATGAACCCAAATGTAGCCGCAATGAAGTCAAATGATGGTCCTACAAGCGTAAATCTGGCTGTGAATCACTTCTCGATTAGTATTTGGTGTCAGTCACAAAAAATTGGTAAACTTAATTTAATCTGAGTTAATAGATTGAGTGCATGTACCTAACCTAACCTTACTCAACTCAGATTAAATTAAGTTTACCAATTTTTTGTGACTGACACCAAATACTAATCGAGAAGTGATTCACAGCCAGATTTACGCTTTAATCTGGCCCTGGTTCCCAGACCTACTGTAGGAGCTCCAGGTGAAGGAGTGGCACTGATCTATTGTGACCCTGATCAACATTTGACTTATTAATAGTGACTGTTTTTTCCTCCTTTGAATTTATGGAGGCAAGTTATTAGAATTACCGTTGTGTATTGTCCTGGTCATCCAGGTACAGATACGGAGTTCATGGATCAGTTTTTCTTGTTTCTTGAGACTCTCTCAGGAAAGAACAGGCAGCGGTTGATCTGTGATGACTAATTATTGGGTTGACAACCCATCTCTGAAAACCTTTTCCCCTGATTTCTTGGTAATTTATTATAAAAAAAAATTGTCAATTGTGTGTCGTGTCCAACACATTTTTCTGGACACACTCTTAGACCTAGTTTTGTCTCCTGCTGACTGTGATTGTGTATTAGATGTTGCAGTTTATCTGATCGATCCAGCAGTCTCTGGCCTTACTTTGGTTTTAATGTCCCTAGACCCCCTTCTTACATTAAAACAATTATTTTCAGGAAGTATAGAAACTTTGACCAGACCATGATTGATCAGGAAGTCGATCATTGTTTAAACTGGGTCGACTCCTCTGTTTTGTCCTCTGATGAGATGGTTAAATTACATAATGATGTCCTCCAGTCCATTTCAGACAGTTATTGTCCAGGTGTCATCAAGAAAATTACAGTACTAGATGACTTTCCATGGTATGACTCGTCTATAAGACTGTGTTCACACCAAACAAATCGAGTCGAGTCACGTTGAATCGTGATTCCATGATTCATCATTCAAGCACACATTATTTGCAGAAACCGTTCACACCAGAGGAGTCGAGTCAAGTCACGTTGAGTTGAGTCAATTCATGAATATGGCCGGACCCAATTTTTCATCAGTCATCGAGAGTCGGATGTGGTTGTGGTGGAAGGAAGCCTGGTCATGCATCTGGAGAATATGATAAATCGTGCCCTAGTGATCGGAGACACCAAGATCATGAAGTGATCTCAGTACTGTGGGAATAGGTTGCTGCTGAATTGAATTCTACAGGTAAGATTATATATTGATGATAATCCCCTAGGATAATACAGTACAGGTATAAATAAATAATAGCCAAATAATTCACATGTGAATGGCATTCAGGATGATGCTGAATGCGGTAAAGTATGGAGGCTGTTGCTGGTATTGCTTTGACTGTATAGCCAAAGTAAACCAGGCTATTGCAGAACATAAAAGAAAGAGATATGTACTTAGTGACGAAAATAGATGAAACTGGATCCTTGTTGGGTGCCAAACTATAACAAGTTAGGAAGGATATCCTCACTTAGACTGAGGGCAGGTTGATAGAGTAGAGGGAGTCGTTAACCTTAAGGTCCTGGGTGACTACTTTTATCCTCTTCGCCACTGATCGGCTTGTTAGCCTTTTGGGCGATCGGTCACGTCTCTGATTACTTTTCCTTTTCATTTATCCTCTTCACCAAAAGATCGGCTTGCTAGCCGCCTGGGCGATCGGTCACTTCTCTGTCACGCACTGTTGGCAAATACTGGGCATGCACCGGCTCCTGAATGTACGTGAACCCGCTCCAGTGTTGGTCAAGTCTTGTCTTGAAAGAGCTCGCACTCGGTGCCGTCACAACACTCTCTGGTAGATTGTTCCAAGAGTTTACAACCTTCACTCTGTTCCAGAACGTCCTACCAGTGCGCTCCGAGTGACTTTCCAGAACGTGCGCCTATTCCCGCCACTGTTTAAATGCCCAGTGCGGGTTATCAAGTTCCAGTGTAAATATTTGCCTGTCACACCACACGCTCGGCCACAGGGAAGCTTCCTGAACATAATTACCTACCCCTGTACTTTTGTTTGTCTATTTTATCATGTTGTATCAAAGTAATATTACTAAAAGTAGTGTACAGTAGTTGTATTGTAGTGCAGTATTACTGTAAAACAATGCTATGATTATGTTATAAATGTACTGTATTTATTTGTGGAATTATTATTATTTTATGCATTACTTGCTCTACCAAACACAAAGACAGCCAGGCAGACTGGCAACCGACTGGTAAGTGTTGCCAAGCACTTTTTATGAAAAATAATGCAAATAAAATATTTTAAATTAATTATTTATAGCAAATAAGTATTAAGATAAGTAAATATATACATTATTGGCCACCTCGGACACAAAGACGAGCGAAAAATAGCTGCTAAGTGCGGAGGGACCACGAGTGTTAGTTATCAAACCAACACTGTCTTCTTATCTCCCCCCCCCTCTCCTCCCTCCCTCTGTGCAGCCAAGGAAGTTTCTAGAGGGTCAATATATAGTTTTTCTTACTTATTTTGTTATTGTTTTGTCATTTTAAAAGGTTAAAAATAATTTTTGGAAAAGTTGAATTTTCTTGATTTACCCCCATGCAGGGGGGTGGGGGTGGTGTACTGTCACCAGCACCCTAACCCAGGGCTTAAGAAGAGCTATGCTGAGGTTGCAGCAGGGGCACAGAAGGTGAAGAAGAGTAATGTAGGGTCCGAACAGGTCCTGCAGCAGCTAGGAAATTTACAGAAGGGTGTTGAAACGATGACAACTAGTAGACCTACTGATACGGGAGAGGAGGAACACTGGGTATGATTTGAGTGAATGAACAATATAATAGTGTTTGGGATTCCTGAGAGTCAGTCGGAGGAGCTGAAAGTAGTAAAACACATGATAAGATGAAATTTCAGAATATTTGTGATGAGGCTCTGAACCTGTCGGCTCCCCCTCATGATGTGAGGAGGCCCCCTCGGGATCACACTAGAAAATGAGAATATGAAGTGGGAAGTTATTCAGAAGGCAAAAGAAAAAAACTTAAAAGGGAGCGAAGCATTTCCGGGTAGGCTACTATATTCATAAACTCAGACTGCACGGTAATGCAGTGGGAACAGCTCAAAGAATTCTTGAATTTCTTGAAGCAGAAGAGGGAGGATTCAAAGAGAAACTGGAGTACCCAGTGAAAACATGCGATATTTGTTAAGGTTACACAGAATAACACCATTCTCTTATCTGATATGTTGATTGAACCCAGGACGCAATGGTGAGAGGCATGTGTACTACTGCTGTAACATCAACACTACAACACCCTTTAGGCCAATGGTATCCAATGGCAAGAGCTACTTGCTCTTATTTTCTAAGTTAAGTTCTCCAAGCTAGAGGCATAATGAATATGGTGTTAATGACATTTTTATTGATAATTGTATAAAACCTGGACGCTTACAAGCTTGAACATCAAAACCCTAGTCTCTCGCTATCATTATTATTGTTCATACAATAAAAGGTACAGACTCCTTCACCAGTGCATTTACAGCGGCTCGTCAGATTTTGTGCAGCGTGGCAGTATTGTGTTTGTTTATAGTCGACAGAATGAAACTTGCAATAGTAAACATATGGAATCAAATTAAAGCAATATTAAAACAAATTTATCAAAGCTAATGATTTGTGGAATGTTTATATGACGAGCCCCTGTAAACGCCCTAGTGAAGGGGACTGTACAGCAATCACATACAAAACATTTAGCCTACAACAGCTTAATTGGAATTACCTTGTACACTAAAATATCAACAACCCTTTTATCTTATGATATTTAAGCAGCCTTTGTTTTCATTAAATGGTAATGTTTTCACTTACTGTATAATGAAATCTCAAGACAGACATCCAAACTTTTAAAAATAAATACATTAATTAGTTTAAATATTCACACAAGCTGTCCAATTAGTTAACATTGCAGGTATTAACTTAGTAGGAACTTAAATGAATTCACATATACTGTACAGTACTGTACAGCATAGCTATGTTCTTTCAATTAGTTGAAGATTGTACTTAAATACCAGTAAATTATTTAATAAAGTTATTATCTTGACAGACTGGTGAAAGTGTTATGGAATGATATGTAAAAGAAATTACAAAGATTGACAAGGATGGAATATTGTTTTAAGAAGTTTAATTTCCACTGTGGCAATGTTACCTCTCCAAATTTTTGGGGGAAAATTGAAAGGTGGGGCAAGAATCACTCAATTAAAATTTTGGAAATTATAGCATGCAGTGTTTACAATTACACTTGTTTAAGTACCCAGTCTGTTTTATGTGGGTTATATTACAGCCGTTAAAAGATTTAAAGGTTTTTCAGGTAATTATAAAAGGGAAGTTGGGTACCAAAAATTTCTAGATGATTTGAAACTGAATGAAAGGGCAGGAGGGGAAGATAAAAACTTAAGGTACTTCTTCAGGAATTAGGTACAAAGGAGGTGCACGATGCATACAAACGCCATCAGTAGTAGGGATGATGTGGCATACCATGCCCCACAAGTCATGCCTTCGTGATGTATCTCAAACTTTATCTGGTTTGGGTACTCGCATTCCTGATCTGAGGGAAACATAATAACTTATTAGTGAAGAGCTCTTGTTAACTCTAAAAGCTGTGACATTATTATAGTTAGAGTATTTTTTTTTAATATAGTAATGGTGACATACAATATGTACCTATACTACTGTACTGTACTAATAAGTTGTGGTATCGTTTCAAAAACTTGGATTGATAAAAATTGGCATGACTGAATCTTCAGTTTGGAGCAACAAATAGTGCAGGGTGGCCAGAAATGAGTAAATACCTGTACACACACATATAATTTCCCTTCATTCGTTGTCATTCATTCGTTCTTCTGTTGTAAATGATGTTCTGTGCTATAGTACTGCCCTTGGTTCTTCCACAAGGTCCCAAATCTGGCTTACCCCATTCATTTCACATAGGTCAACAGTATGTCCTTAAATAAAAAAAATCTTTGCACATTGTTCTCCCATTCATGCACATTTCTGATTCCTGAAAGACCATTCCCCTATTTCTAATGCATCTTTAATATATATATATATATATATATATATATATATATATATATATATATATATATATATATATATATATATATATATATATATATATATATATATATATATATATATATATATATATATATAAGAGCATTACACACATACAGTAATGTATATGAATTACTTTTATGGCCACAGACCAATTTACCTTGACAATAAGTTCCGAGAGCTGTTTGGCCTGTCACAGACAAGAAAATCGGGGCGCAATCCACCAGATAGCGTCCACACAGTTCCGTCCACTCCATATCAGTGCCTCCAGTAACACATGCATAGTCACTGGCAGTAGTGTCTACAGTCATGCTCTCCCTACTGCTGCAGACTGAGACATCAGCATTACTAACCTGTATTTGAAAAAAGAAAAAAAAATAGAATTTAAGCTTTGGAAAATCCAATGTACAGTAGTACCCCGATTTACGCGGTCAATTGAACCCACAGGGTACCGCGGAAAGTGAAAACCGCGTAAAATGAACAACAGAACATATGGGATTAATTCCAATAGAGACTGGCCCGACCCCCAAACTCCACTTTTTCCGACACAATACCTATGTTGTTGTAAAAATAACATCTAAATTTTATGATGGTATGCTCACACAATTAATATTTAAGAGAAATACAGTTGCCAGGTTAATGTCCATTCAAATAATGGACTCAAATCCCCCCCCCCCTCTTCCCAGCCCACTAGCTCCTACCTCTCTGATTAATGTTTGGGTGAAAACTCTTAGATTTTAACGTTTAGTAATAAATAATACCTCAGACTAAAGTTAGGATAATATAATTGACATTTCTGATTCCTTTTGCAGGTCAGGGAATATTTTGAATGTAAACTTCATATATTCTGCACAAAAGGATAAAAATATTTGCTTTGTGTAAAACCAAAATTATTACTTTTAAGATCTAAAATTCTTGTATGTCGTACGCAAAACTTATGATGTTTATATTCAAAATGATCATCATATTGTAAGAATTCCAGCAATGTAAATTATATTCTGGCCGGTAATTTGTATGAATTTTATGAGCTAAATAAAGTGAAAGTGAAGTCTGGTTCTGGCAAGGTACCGCGTAAATGAGAAATCATGGAAAGTGAAACCATGTAAAGCGGGGTAATACTGTACAGTATAATGAAATAACATTAAATGATAATAAAATCTAATATTGAATATCTAATGTAGCACTTGAAATTATCATCTATCCATTTACCAGCAGAAAGTAGATGTTACTGGGCAGTAAGTGATACACAACTTACATAATATCTGTTAGTTATGAACTTATGATGAGACAAATTTACTTTTATGTTAGAGGTATTTTGAAGATAAACCCCCAAATAAACTGAAATACTGCATAGTTATATAAATTATATAATGTTTTGTCATTTTGGCAATTTGTTTTCAGCTGTTGAAGTAAAACCTAGTTTCATATTTCTCGGTTTTATTCAACAAAGAACATAGCCATCTGTAACAAAAGAAACAAAAAATATGAGGAGCTCTGGACCTTAATCTACTGAGTACCAAAATAGAAAATGGAGGAAAATACTGTGTATATATATATATATATATATATATATATATATATATATATATATATATATATATATATATATATATATATATATATAGTATATATATATATATATATATATATATATATATATATATATATATATATATATATATATATATATATATATATATATATATATATATATATATATATATATATATATATATATATATATATATATATATACACACACACACACACACACACACACATACATACAGTTGTACCCCGCTTAACGCGGTTTCACTTAACGCGATTTTTCAGATACTGAACACTAGGCAGCCAGTGTATGTGAAGAAATTTACTTACCGGTATATACTGTAATCAGAAGCAATAATTGCTAACCCCCCTCCCCTCCCAGTACCTGGAGCCACAGCCAGTGAAGGCCGATATTGACATAATGCAACATCGCCAGCCACAATACAGTAATGTAGTTCCAAAATTACCCAGCAACGTTTAGACAGGAAAGGGTAAGAGAGGAAGGTTTGTCCGATCGCTATCAAATAGGGAGGTACTACCGCCTGGGAAGATATTAGTAGATCCTGCTGCCATATGGCATCACAAAAATTTTGACCAAGTCCCAGGTTGCTGATCTAACTTTCTGCCTCATTTACACACAATTGCAGGGTCTCAATTGTTTCTCTTACTTTGACAACAGAACATACATACCTGTATATTGTTTCTCACTATTAATATCTTTTTTATTTTTTGTATTTATTTATGGTCTTTTTTTATTACACTATATTATATTATTATATCATATCATTTTTATTTAATATTTTTTTTTGTATTTTTTATTAATTATATTATTATTATTATTATTATTATTATTATTATTATTATTATTATTTTGCCCTCCAGGCCATGATGTAGGTCATTGACCTGTGCCCTGGTGGGCTAATCCGGTAAAAAAAAAAAAGGCCTTCACTTGTCATGGCTCTGGCTGCTGGGGGTAGGGGGTGTAGGAAATACTGCTTCTGACTGTACATAAGATAAGCCATGGCATACTTACTTTCCATCATACTTGGTGTAGTAGTAACCATATTTTAAACATCATTTTGCATTATCTTTGGCCAATGTCATATTAATTTCCACAAATTTTCATAAAATACATAATGTACTCTGTTATTATTGCTATATCCATTCTTTTCACATGCCCTTGTCAAGTTAGTCCACACCTAGTTATTGAAGCTAATTTAATATATTTTCCTATTTGTCACCTTGACCACTTCCTTACTACTCATCCCCTCTATTAAACTACTGGTCAGAATACAGTTATGAATGTGATGCCACTGACCTTTAACTTGAGGGAGCCTGAGAAGCGGAAGTTTTGTGGGGCAATCTTAATGTATGTTGTGAAATTGGGAGACACATAACCGGTGTATACATGGGTTGCCTCTTGATAGTTGCTGAAGTTTGAATTGTAGGTATCACATGCAGGATACACAAATACAGAAGGAACTGTAATAATGAAAAAAAGAATGTTATAGTCAATAAGACTATTGTACCTAAAACACTGTAAGAACAATGTTGAGGCAATCATTATCATAAACTGACGATACAAAGTGAAAATTCATTACTGTACAGTATCTCGTGAGGGGGGATGTGAAACTATTGAAAATGGTAATAATCTCAAAATTAGAGTTTTGTGTTTACACATTGCATAGTTTGATACAAAAGTACTTCTTACTTTTACAAATCCGTTTAGCTAATGTTGCAGCAAATACTTCTATTTCTTGTACATTGTTGGTGAAGAAGTCAGTACTTGGGTCCACCAGCATATCAATGAAGCTGTTCTTGCTCTTGCCAACCAACAGGAAATATACATCTGCCAAATACATGAACTTTTTATAAATGTTTAATTTTTTTTTTAATTCTCTCTATATATATATATATATATACGTACAGTACAGTTCTCTATACATTTGACGACCATACCTGGGAAACGTTGCCTAAATTGAGACAGCAGATCCAGGAAAGTATCGGGATCTGGTATACTACCCGGTACATTCCACAGCACCACCTGTCAATAAACAATTATATCATATAAGTGGAGGGACAAAGTTAGCAAATTGCCCATCTATGGCAAATTATCTCTGAAGGAGTGGGATTGTTGATCCATCTTTTGTAATGATTTCATCTAAAAGAAATGAGAAAAAACAAGATGGGTGTGTGGATGTAATGAGGATGAAAAGAGAGTTGGTGATAGGGAAATGGATAGGATTTTAATTACTGTACCTAATTGTGAAATGCCAAAAATGAATGGGAATGGGGAGAGACTAACTATATAAGTGTGCTGTTGGTGTTGGTGGTACAGCAGTAATGCACATGCCTCTCACCATTTTGTCCTGGGTTGGATGAGAAAACAGTATAACCCTACCAAGCATTTCTCTGGATACTTCAGTTTCCTCTTGTAATAATCCTGAACAATGAAGGTCATACAACAACAGACCAACTGCCTGAATGGCTTTAGTGCATTTTTTCCCAGCTGAGAAGAGATGTCCCGCCCCCTCCTCAAGAATTACAGCTGATTGGCTGTTGCAAATCTGTCCGATTTCGTCCTGAAGTAATGATGTATTTCTAAATGATTTAAGGGGAATATAGGGGATTTTTAGGAGTGTTTCTGATTTTATGCATTTTTTGGCTTTACTTTGTACTTTTTCTGTGAGTTGGAACCAATTACCCAATATCCCATTGAAATAATAGATTCAGTTAACAAAATTTTTGGTTAACAAACGACTCTGTGGAACCAATTGTGCTAGTTAATTGAGGGACCACTGTACATCATTACTTCAGGTAGAAATCGGAGAAATTTGCAACAGCCAATCAGCTGTAACTCTTGAGGAGGGGGCGGGGCATCTCTTCTCAGCTGGGAAAAAATGCACTATAGTAAGTTGGTAATTGATAAAAAATGATAAATTTGGAAGAAAAAGGTTAGTGGGGAGAATATATGGTTAAAAAAGGAAATTCATTTGTATATAGTAGTACAGTACATGTAGCTGTGACAAATGAGAAAATAGAAAGATCATTAGATTATGTGTTGGTAGAGAGAAGATTGAAATACAAGATGAACGATGTCAATGTTCTAGGAAGAGCTGTGCAAAAAATGTCTGATTTGGGAGAAGTGATAATAGGGGAAATGCTGATTCAGCATTACTAAATGGGTGTGAAGCAAATGACTCTGGATGCAAGAGGAAGAAACACATTAGAAGTGACAGATATGAAATGGTTGGGAGTAATATGTTGGATGAATGAAATGAGAATAAGAGACACAAGAAAATTTAAATGTGGAACTGAAAGAAGTATTGGAGGGAGCTGACTGGGGTTTCCTAAGCAGTTGTGAAAATATTGAGAGAAATGGTAAAAAAGCGTGTGTAAGTCTGATGGTAAAAGGGAAATGAGAATACCAATGGGGTGAAGGGCAGATTGCTGTAGAATGGAAACAGAGAGATCCAGGAAGCAGTAGTGTGAATAACAGGAGAGAATAGTATTATATGGTTTATGTGAATGGATGTGCTGCTAATGAGAGAGAGAGAGAGAGTCTTCTCTCTTTGTTCTGGCTTGAATGAGTGAAAAGGCAATTTAAAGATACTGAACATTTGACTTAATGGAGAACAGCATTAGAAACAAAGTGCAGTTATATATCTAGATTAGATTTTGTTAGGGAGGACTGAACAGAGTTGGGATATATCATCCACAAAATGTGAGAGCAGTATTGTATTCCATTTTATTGAAGTCCTGAGCAGTGAGTGAAATTAGAAATGCTATGTTGAAAATTTATTGTTCAGTTAGATAAAGTCTCATGAACTACTATACTGTATAGATCAAAGTTAATAATACTCATATTTCATAATCTTATGTGAACTATGCCTCACTTTCATTATAAGAATAGCCAGCCTTACCATTATGATCTACGTATAGACTGAATCCAAATAGGTATGGAAGGTTAGGTGTTTAGGAAACTATATAAAGTTAAAAGAATGTTAATGATTAGCTCACCATATTTGAGACTTCTTTTGCTTCCTTCACAGTTTCTTGCTCAAATGATTAGGGAGAGAAAGGTCATATAACTGTTACTGACCTGTGAGTGGGTCATATAACTGTTACTGACCTGTGAATGGGTCATATAACTGTTACTGACCTGTGAGTGGGTCATATAACTATTACTAACATGTGAGTGGGTCATATAACTGTTACTGGCCTGTGAGTGGGTCATATAACTGACTGACCTGTGAGTGAGCCGAGGCATTCTTGCCATCACTATGGAGTTTAGTGTAGAAGTTGGTGTAGTAGGCAGTCAACTCTTTCAACACAGCCATCATATCTGAGCCTGACCCATAGCTGCCTGGAATATGTTCAGATACCATATAATTGTTAATGGCATTTTATATAAACTAACAATGTATTGTTCACCATGACTGAGGATAAGAATTTATATGCCATGTATAAAAATAACCTATAATATTCTTTTTCCTGTAAGCAGCAAGAAAATCAGAAGAATATATTATACTGTACTCTTTGCCAATTAAATTTTAAATCATATCATTAACTCTCTGAAAATCAAATATTAAGTAAGTAGAGTATTGAAAGTGAGTACAGTACTGTAGTATAATAGGCCTCATGGTACACAAGGGGGTACCTTCACTTCTCCATCTTTAAGGTTAGGTAAATTGGGGGTCCTTGGTGCAAACTAACAACCCGTTGGACAGGAAGCAAGTGCTGTCTCCACTCAGCTGCTGCACCTCTTCAAATAAATATTAAGTAAATATTACAGGTTGGCAATCTTTCATCCAAAAATTTTGGGGCTGATTGCATTTTGGTTTTCAGGTATTTTGGGATGCCTATGCTTATTTATATTGCAATAGCCTAAGCCTAGGCTGACCTATACAGGCCTGGATCCAGACCTCAAATCTGACAAATGCAATATATATATATATATATATATATATATATATATATATATATATATATATATATATATATATATATATATATATATATATATATATATATATATATATATATATATATATATATATATATATATATATATATTTTTTTTTTTTTTTTTTTACTTATCCAGTAGATCACCACTTCCGACCTCTTGTTTTTATGATATTTATACAGAAAACAGAATTTTGCTGAGGAATTATTCAGTACTGTACCCAGTAATTAAGGTTTTAATAATATTTGGTTTGATCTACTGTTACAGACCTGTGGAAAAAACATTGAGTCAAATTTGCCAATGAAATTCTCTCACTCACTAACACCATTGTTTCTTGCTACATATGTACTGTACAGTCATTGCTGATTTATGTGTGTTTAAACAGTATACTGTACTGGGTACTTCAGGAAATTTTCTCAGGAAAAATGATTTTTGGGGTATTTTTTTAATAATGAAGCTGGAAACTTAGCATTGAGTATCATGAACACAAAACTTTGTGTGTCACAAGTTAAGATGAGTTGGGACAATGGTCAAACCAACAGCTCTGCATTTATTTATGCTAATGGAACTTATTGCAGCTTTAGTGTTATGTTGCAGTCTTTGTTAAAGGTATGACTTTAAACAGGGGATTTGGCTCATGCTGCTCACTTGATCACACAAAACCTGCCTTCATATTCACATACAGTAATGTCCATTCAAAAACTTTAGGTTTTTGGATCGGTTTAGTTTTGGAATTTTATATAAAGGATCCTTGAAACTATGTATAATTCAATGGGTTGGGATGCCATAATTGAGACATCACCACCAAAATACAGTACTGTATAGTACAGGTAATAATAATATTAGCTGGTCTTATGTTTCTCAAAAGTGCTGGTTCTTCTAAAGAATTCACTAGCACTCAAAACAGTACAAAGTCAAAGACTTGAAAATAAAAATTAATATTGGACTAAAAGATCACAAAAAGTGACAGTTCCACCTCTATCATTCAAATACCCTTAAATTTGAATACTTCCTAAACCCTATATTTATCCATCACTGTACCCTGTACAGGATAATAAACTTTTAAAATAAAGAAAGGTTTTAAGTTGCTTTTTAAAGGCCTACACAGAAGTCAACTGCTTCATGGATGCAAGCAACTGATTTTACAATCTGGTTGCTGTATAGGAACTGGATCAGGCAGAAAAGGAAAAATCCCGTACTGCTCTAGGCTCCTCAAGGCATGAAGGATCATCACTACTACACAAAATCATTTCAGAATGAGCAGTCAGTGGAATTAGTAAGTAGGCCAAATACTAAGGCTTACCAAACATTAGTGTCTTAAAAGTCATTAGACAGAGTTTGAACTCTATCCTGGCTTTAATTGGAAGCCAATATCATTCGAACAAGAATTGGGTAGTGGGAGTCCTCTGTGGGAAAGCAAAAATAAGCCTGGCAACCCTGTTTAAACTTTCTTCTTTACTTTACTTTTTTTTACTTATATCCTCTTCACCACTGATCGGCTCATTAGCCGCTTGGGTGATTGGTCACGTCTCTGTTACGCACTGTTGGCAAGTATTGGGCATGCACCGGCTCCTGAATGTACCTGAACTTGCTCCAGTGTTGGTCAAGTCTGGTCTTGAAAGAGCTCACACTCGCTGCCGTCACAACACTTTCTGGCAGATTGTTCCAAGAGTTCACAACTCTCACTCCGAAAAAATTTGCCCTCAGTTTTCTGGACCTGTGGCTTCTTCAATCTCGAGCTGTGACCCCTTGTGGGGTGAGTGTCACCCAGCTCCAAAGTTTGAAGAGCCAAAATCATCTGTGCCGTCTCCCCTCCTATTTCCTTGGATGACAATAATCTCGGTTTTGCCATCATTCAGCTTAAGTTTTCTCCTAGCCATCCAAATCTTCATATAAGACATCAAGGATTTCATTGTATCCTCAATATTCTCAACATTTTATATTTTTACATGAAGTTGTGTATCAGCAGCATAGAAATGGTAGGCAACACCAAGAGCATCTAGCAGAGATGCAAGGCTACTGGTATATACAGGTACTCCTCGACTTATGACCTACTTGACTTGCGACCACCTGGACATGCGACCGCTGCAGTCCTACCAAAAATTTTTCAAATTACGTATTTTCGAGTCCCGACGTTAGTGATTGCGCTGTGTACTGACAAAATTTTCGTTTGTAATTCCCTTTAAAATGGCTGGCAAGCTTAAAAGTGAGTTTTGTAGTGCTGAGAAGAAAAAGAGACACCCATTTTAGATTTCTATGTGTTATTTTCGCATTTTCGACTTACGAACTGGATCTGGGTCCCTAACCCCGTTGTAAGTCGGGGACTGCCTGTACTGTAAACAGAAGTGGTCCTATAACTGATCCCTGTGAGACTCCAAACTGCAAAGGGACCTGGTCTGAAATGGTTCCACCAACCATCACACATTAATGGGGCTCTGACAAATAAGACTACAGCAGTGAGAGTGCATTCTCACGGACACCAAACGACCAAAGATCCTGAAGCAACAGATGATAATCCACGGTGTCAAAAGCTGCAGAGAGTTTCAGCAAGACCAGAAGGGAGGACTTTCCTGTGCAAGACTTTATTACCAGATCATTATGAATTTTACATAAGGTAGTTTCAGTTGAATGATGCTTCCTATAGGCTGACTGGACAAGATGGATCACTCCATAACTCTCTAACAGAGGAAGTAACTGATCTAGCTAAGCAGGCTCTATGATCTTTGATAAGAAAGAGAGATTGGAGACTGGACAATAATTTTACATATTTTCAGTATCAAGACCAGGTTTCCTTAAAAAAGTGGACGCAATAAAGCCTGTTTCTTAGATCGCACAAATTTGCCCTCTGCAAAACATGTATTTATGATTCTACAAATAAAGTCTGTTGCATGCTCATATACATTTACAGGATCAAGACGACAAAGTCTTCTTCGAGTTCTTGATATAGCACAGAATGTTGTTCACCCCTAACTGTAGTAGAATTGTCCAATAAAAGACCAGTACATATCCCACAATACTTACCAATATCATCTACAGTGTAGTTACTACCCCAGTCTGCTACATTACTGAAGTTGGTCAATGGGAACTTCCACTGAGCACTTTTACCATCCAGTACACCCAGACGTGATCTGTCCACACTCACACTAAGCATTGTTCCCAGGAGCCTGCAGGAGCCACATACAAAAGAGATACAGTATATGTTAATTTTAACTCTATAATTGCCAAACGAACTTCTGTATTGTATACAAAACAGTAGTTTAATTACACTCAAAAGTGCAAAAAAGAAAAAAGACACTTTTAATATTAGAACCGACTCATTTGTCGTGGCCTACACCTTGTACTCATAGGCTGTTGAGCCTTCATGCCCATTTACTTACGAGATGTACTGCCGCTGCTTATCCATCTCGTATATTCCACCCTCGTGGCCATATACCATAATTAGATCCACTTTGTTCTCACACTTGACATCTTTCTTGCTGTATATGGGGCACCTGTCATAGTCCGTGTAGTCATAGCTTCCTGTTGAAAAGATCAATGGTTTAGGTGCAGACTACAACATTTCATTCACTGATTTAAATCGGTATACTGTACTGTACAGTGTGAGGAAATTAAAAAAAAATTAAACAGTACTAATTTATCACCAGTAGCACATAAATAATGATAATAAACTTTGCTGTTAATTTTTCATTTAACAAGCTTATAGAATTTACTTATAACTACAGTACTGTGAATGTCTGTACAAGTACTGTACTGTATTTATTAGACATTCAATAACTGCACCATATATGCTTCTTTATTGGGATATTTTTAAACTTTTTCTGATTAGCATCAAACTTAATATCGGTAAATAATTTAGTGCTTTATTACTACTTTGAGGGCTTTACAGTAAATATGGTTCACTGAACTTCATTTTTTTAAACAAACTTTTAAAGTAGATGACATGCAGTGATGATAGTAATTGTGGCACTAATGGTAATTTTGACTTAAGGTGGGGAAGTAATGGTGGTGGGGACTGGTTAGAGGTGGTATTAGAGCACACAAGGAATTATAGTGATATACAGTATACTGTGCATGTATAGGCATTTTTGAGGTACCCTGTATTACTAAAATTTTTGTCTGATAGCAAGCCACACCCCTACTTTTGCCCCCACCCCCCTTTTTTTTTTGGTGGTGGGGGGGGGGATTGTGGCTTGTATTCATCAAAATATAGTACAAGTGATATCCCCATTAGCTAGAGTAATTGATGCAGAGCTCTTCCGGGGATGAGAGATTTCTGGATAATGAGACGACTCGAACACCCAAAAATGTTTTCCGAATACAGCACTGCATACAATATTGTATATTTAGTAATGTCGCTTTACTTTTCAATGAATAGCAAATAAATAATGTACTGTACAATATTGTATCATGAACAACAGTCATAACAGAATGAGTGAGAGAGGTGGTGAGACACAGTGGGTGGGAGGTGACCCTTGGGGAGGGAAACCGACTGCGTGGTCAGTTTTACTCTCAAGGTTTGACACCCTTACTAACTCCACCACCTCCAATACCAAAGTGAAAAAGTGAACTGTACTTTTACTCACAGCATCTGTTCTAATTGTGTTAGAGGGATGAATTTGATATCATAATGATCCTGAATAAATTCTTGACATGCCATAATGATGGGACTCCATATTTTTAAGAAAAAAAAGTAATGTTGATATACTGAAGTCAATCAAATCAGTTCTAATGAACTGAGACACACCATTTTTTTACCCAAATAATCCTGATTAGTTTATCTAAAGGTTTGGTTAACTAAATATATTTAAAAAACAAAAAATCTATATACATGTAATATCGGTGTGAATGGAGCTGTGTGTTACAGTGAAGACTGTGAAATTTTTCACTCTTTACTGGGAAAAATTTTCCCGAGTCCATACGATGCATCTCACATGGAGTTGTATTTATTTACACAAACACCACTGTACACGTACAATACTGTATATATTGTTAATACCGTAAACAAAATAAGGATATTTATGGTTTCATGTACCGCATGTTCCTGCCAAAATATATATATAATTATCAATTTGTTCGATAATTCTCAACTTACTGGAGTTGACAAGTGCCAGTCAGTGTATTAACTAATATATTAATATATTTTAAATTATATAATTATTATAATACCTGTACACTGTACTGTACTTTTAATATTCATATTTACTTACTGTATTTACATTTTAATATTTACATTGATATACCTGTACATTGGTTTCATTTCTAGGCCAGGCTGATTTTATTACTAGTATTGTATGTCTGATTTTTTGTTTCCAAATAATTTTTGAGGCTTGATGGCCCATGATCTGTGGCCTGGTACCAGTCCACAGGGTGGTGGTTGGAAACCCCGGCTCTATATTGTTCATGTGGTCTTTTATGTAGAGCCCAAATGGTTGATATTCAGGAAATTCCTGGCATTCCACATGGGTACAGATTGTTTACTGTTCAAGGTTTTGTCATTTTGAGTTAGAGATTGTTCCAAGGATCTTCATCAAATTTTCAGGAATGCTGTTGTAGAAGAAATTGTATACTGGGGGCCCTTGTTATAAGTGTCTTCATTGTAAATGGTTTTGCACTTAAGTGGTCAAATAATTGTGGACCTACACGTAAAAAGTCTTCACAGTTAAGAGGATTCTAAGGCTGAAATCTATCACTCTTTGGGAGCACAAGCATTTGAGTGATTGAAATTCCTGCCTACATCCCATTCTTTTAAAGCTCATCCTTCTCACCTGCACTATGCATGCTCAGTATCAGTTGCCTATGTCCACAGGTTATATTTGGAAGTGCTCCAAGAACTATACAGGTAATTATCAACTTTGTTGTGTCTTTGGTGACATTGGTGGACTATTTTTGTAACCGAAGCAAGATGGTGTAGTGGCTAAAAGGAAGCGTAGTAGCTATGGGATGGATGTGAAATTAGAAGTTACATGTCGTAAGCAAAGTGGTGGCATGTCTCAATGAAACACTTTCACTGAAATGAGCATGTGAGTGCATGGTTAGGTAGCTTGAGCCGCATCAACACACCAATCCAAACGACTTAAGTACTGTACCTTAAATAAGTTGTAAGGTTAAATAATTTCATAAAATAATGTGTAATCAAATGTTTAAAAAAATGGTTCTGAGGTATATATTATTTAACTGTTAAGAGATACCAAATTAAACCTTATGAGTGTCACTTACACTGTGAGAATTCTGATTAGACCCTATTCCTATTAATTCTTTTGGGAATTAATACCCATTTATAAGTGTTTTCATTATCAGTGGCTTTTTTCTGGTCTCTATTAACCACATACAATAAGGCCCCCCCTGATTTTTTGTTTCGGTCTGTTTGCATGAACGGTTAATTTTAGAATCCTCTAGAGGAAGTTAGTCATAATAATTAAACAGTTCTTCACTTTCTGGATAGACCAACCTAGATAGCGAAGTGGAAGAAGTCTTGACTGTCTGTGCTAGTCCTTTCAATATGACACTAGGAGTTAAAATCTTTTACTCTTAAGACGTTAGCTTTAACAGTTTTCTGTACTCGTGGATTCTAACTTGATGCTGTGACCTGTAGTGGGACAGGTATCTGTTAACTCCAGATATGAACACAGGATAGAAAGGCCGACTGAGTAATGTCCTTTCAGGTGCTTATAAACTTATATTAAATCACCCCTTACCTGTCTACAGTATAAACGAGGCATTTTAATCTCTTTTGTTACAAGACGTGCAGGCACCAGTGTGGTGGCCCTCATTCAACTGGCAGTCTTAAGTACAGTAGTATATCTCAGATACCAAACAAATTGACAGTACATTACTCCATGTTGGGTAGCACCACACTTAAAGAGCTTTAAAAGGGATGGACCAATTGGACCATGTATGTATGAAAAAGATTGTCATATAAGTCTTCTTAGTTCATTAGCACAGTTAACCTTCTTTTTACAATGATCTGATAACTTCAGTTGTTGGCAACATTCACACCAAGGTCTTTTTCACATTTGGTTTCAGTTAATGATATTTCCTCATTCGTACCATTAGTATGACCAATATGCATCCTCTTGCACTTCATAATGCTAATCTTAGCAGTCATTTGTCTCCACTCCTGAAGCCAATAGAGATTTTCTTCTAACACTTCACTGCCCATTCAGTTCTCAAGTTCCCTGAATAGCTTGGTACCATCTGCAATAATTTGTATGGAAGAATGAATAGCAACATTGGACCCAACACATTGTCCTGTGGCACCTATTTGCCAGAGGTACACGCAACATGTAGTAAGATAAAAGAGTACAGTGACCCATTTGGCTCCCAGCTTGGCTTCTCTTCTTCTATTGAGGGTCATGGTTGCTGCAGAAAGAAATACTGTAAGTTAATCTTTGGATTAACCCATCTACCTTTGTTTAGGCTTGCCTGTGCCAGACTTACTTTTACACGAGTCATTTCTCAGAGGCTCAGTTATGAAATAAGTTTTCCGAATCAAATCTCCATGTTTCCCAACACCGATCAACTTTTCCATACTCTTTACTAACTACAATAAGAAAAAATGCTATAACTTTTATGCTTATCTTATGCCATTTTTTTAACAATCATACTTATTAATTCATCCAAATTTCCCGATTTTCCAGTATTCTGGCATGTTATTGATCATCATCATCATTTCCCATTATACTCACAATTCCATTATACTGTACAGGTACAGGTATTGTATTTATTTCTACTCAGTATTGTGTTAAGTACTCTTACAGTAGTGGAGCCAAATTCACAAAATACTGGAAATCACACACACAAATCAAAGGCTCAGTACTTTCACTTTCACATTGACTTATGTAATTTTTTTGACATCTTACCTACAAATGAGGTGAATGATGACCATACATTGTTGAGGGCAGACTTGAAGCTGCTTTCTATTCCACTGAAATGGTCTTGGTACTCTGTGATCATTCGCTTGACTTCAGGAAATTTATCACTATAAGCATACATGAAGTTCAAAGCCTGATGAAAGAAAAAATTTTAAGTTGAAACCTTAGAGTGAAAAGAAAGGGCACAGAGCAAGAAAGGCTATAATTAAACACACTAAAAAGAAATATTTGGCTAGCAACATTCCTATCAATTCCAAGCAACAGTAGAGCCATTGATTTTCATTTTCAGAAAAGGCAAAATTCCTTATCAGAAAATGCTATACTGTATTTGTTTAATCCAGAATGCGACGTCTAGCTTTATACCTAGGTATGTAAATTCCTAGCATTAACTCGCCAGGCCAACATACAGGCAATTAAAACATTTAATACTACTTAAATATGTAATACTGTATTAGGCTTTATACCTAGGTATGTAAATGCTTAGCATTAATTCACCAGGCAATTAAAACATCTAATAATTACTTAAATATGAAATATTAGGAGGACACATCACTACCTGGCATAAAATTGTAATTATCGAAACCCCATCCTGCACCCTCCATCACACGCATTGCTACCGTCATCTTCTTGCCTGGCGAATCAGCTGTAAATGCTCACAAGGAAGGCTACGCTAAATTGAGTTGTAATAGGTGAAATATTGAGAACCACAAGGATTTTTTTCCAATTCCACTTCCTATTGGTTTTTATGCAGTACTGTACTGTACTACGCTTATTATTTTATAAAGCATTGACTGATACAGTTATGTCCCCATCTGGATTACTGTATACTGTTCAGGCATGGTAACCTTACCTCCAGAAAGACTTAGCACCTCAAGAAAAGGTGCAATACAGAGTGACTAAGATGATTCCTGAGCCATATCATCCCGATTATCAACGTTTATTGATGGGGGCCTTGAGATTAACAACTCTCAAGACAAGAACAATAGAGTAGACCTCATAGAGACATCCAAAATCTTGAAAGGTAAACACTGCTTATACAGTGGTCACTCTATGCTATACACATAAGAACAGGATACATCATTGGCTCTTCTTACCTGTTCTTTAATTTTGTCAGCATCAAGTTCTTTGTAAGCCATCATCCTGTTGCAGGCACGTTGGTCTTGGTTGTTGGGTAGGCCATGCTCACTGTAGTACATCCTTAAGATCTGTGAGAGCTTCATTTGTGAAGATGATGACGACTGCAGAAGTGTTGCTATGAGCAAGCCTATGGAAAAACAGAATTGATCTAATGGTTTTACTTGGGGTAACCCTTCATAGCAGCATGAATTGTGAAGTTTTCAAATAGAATTTTATTTGATGCTGTAATCTATTCTTATTTAAATAGTGAGGCTCATGTCAAATCTTTATATACAGGAGCTTTATTAACACATATTATGCATTTCTCTTTTAAGTGCATTCATGAGTGTTTCTTAAAATATATTACTACTTGCCCTGTATGCTTTAAGCGAGCATTATATTTTATCAGTGTTAACCCAGGCTGCAGGTATTTCTTTATTTTGTCTAACACATCTTTTATAAATCCACAAATAATTTTTTTAACTTTGTCCATTTTCTAAAATATAGTACAGTACTGTACATTACATTACATTACAGTACTATTTTCTTTGAAGGCTAGTACTGTATTGAAAATTTACAACTTTAAGTTTGTTACTGTAACTGAGGCCACTGCAGTAGTAAGGGAACAAGTGACATCTTTTTAATTGTCACTTGTGCCCTTACTACTGCAGTGCCTAAATTGTTGGAGCATGTGTATAAATGTTCCTCCTCACCATCTATACCACCAAAAATTTCTGCTCTAGAGAGGTAGGAAGTGATGCCATTGTAATTGTTGGCAAGGGTGAACAGCTTAGGGGCTGCAGTCAAATTGCAGAATCGTCCATTTGGGCCAAGATAAATTTCGTTCCCTGTAGTGGTCGCCATGGCTCCTATGACTGCTGACTGTCCAATATCACCTGGTGGAAAACACACATGCTGAGACCACAATCAAATAATTTAACTACTACATTAGCCTTTTGATTTTCTAAGTACCAAACGTCTTTGGTATGTGCAAGTTCCTCATCATAAATGTTAAAATATGACAACCCACCAAACAACAGATCCTGATGAATGAAAGAAGTTACTGTACTGTATATCATGTACCACATACTGTAGCTGTACAATGATTCTCTTCACTCCATGTAATCAAAAAGGCTGGTGTCTAACAATGTCTGTAAAAAATTTTCTTAGCATTAATAAAATTATGATGATAGGTAGTCTGTGTTTCTTGTTAATGAGTGTTAGAGATGATGAGATATTGAAGAATAAGTGTTTCCTCACTATTATTACTGAACATTTGTAAGAATGCAACATAAATACTGTATAGCATAATATTTGATCACATGTGATACATTTGTAATTCTCATATACTAGGGTAATTTTTTGTACAGTAGTACTGTACTGTATTCACGTACCATACTAGGATTTTTTTTTATTTTCTTGAAGCGAGATGGGGTACAGACTGCAGATTTTTAGATTTAAAGTATAGTACTGTAATGACAAGTTTACCTGCTAAAGCAGAGATGTACAGAGGGTTAAGGCGCTTGTTTTTCATCTCGACAGGCATGAAGTTTGTTTGAGTTTCACCCAATATCTGGCTGATGGAGGATTCACCAGTTTTGTCAGATGCCATAATACCTGTTGAAGGAAACACCATTAAAAAATTTTAATTTCACCAATTATAAGCTTGTTAGCCACTTGGGAAATTGGTTTGTTCTTTGTTGCTTTGTTTGAACTTTATAGTCAAGTGGTAATATATATATATATAATTATATATATATATATATATATATATATATATATATATATATATATATATATATATATATATATATATATATATATATATATATATATATATATATATATATATATATATATATATATATATATATATATATATATATATATATATATATATATATATATATATATATATATACAATATATTTTTTTTTTTTTTTTAAATAATATCGCGGACTTCTACATACAATCAACACCTCAACCCGTTGCTCTGATCACCTAAGAGCACGGGTGGTCCCCATTTGAGGTTCACGGCACCATAAGCTCAAGTAAACAGGCTTTGTGTGAAATATAACAGTAACGTTCCCCGGTCACAATTATAAGATCGTGGGTTTGAATCCTGGCGGGGTGAGGTGTTGATTGTATGTAGAAGTCCACGTGCTTTATTGGGCTAATGAAATATATATATATATATATATATATATATATATATATATATATATATATATATATATATATATATATCTGGGTTTACGCGGATATTTATATGCGAATGGCCATTTACGCGGCACCCGTCCAGAAGCGATAATTATTCTTTAAGCGGTAAATGCCATCATATACACGGCAAGCGGCGGGGCAAGGGGCTGGGCGCTGACGTCAGACTCGTGCCGATGACGTCGCGGACTGTGATTGGGCCACGTATCCTTACCACCCACGCACCCCCTCTGCCGCGCGCTGTGATTGGTCTATTTAACCTTGCCACCCCCTGTTACCCGTGCTCTCGACCATCGCCGCGCCAGTCTCACTGTCCCTAAGTGTATTCACTCTTGCCCAGGAACTGGTTTTGTTTTTTTCTTTCTACACAATGGCTTCTGCTGGACCCCCACCACCCTTGAGAAGCCCTGAACTACCTGGCTCAAGCTGCCCCAAGCCCAAGAAGGTGTGACGCGCCTTAAGCTATGAGGTTAAGTTCAAGATCGTTCAGGAGTTAGAAAAAGGCACGAGGCAGGTGGATCTGGCCAGACAATATGGAGTGAATGAATCGACGATCCACACGATCAAGAAGGATGCTGGCAAAATCAATGAACACATGAAACTGTCTACCTGTGTAGGCTTTCTGTACACCTTAAATTTGTAGTTATGGCCATCCCTTCCATTCCTTGATATGCTTATCATTAGAAATGGCCATAACTACAAATTTAAGGTGTACAGAAAGCCTACACAGGTAGACAGTTTCATACATTTTTTATCGAATCACCTGGGGTCTACCAAAATGTCAGTTTTTTCTGCTATGTTTTTGAGATGTTTGCGTATTTGTGACGTTGAATTTATTGATGAAGAATTGAAACACATTCGTTCCATTGCACAAAAACTTGGATACCCTTCTGTGTTTGTTGGTCATTGATTTAAAAGGGCTAAAAAATCCTTTCATTCTACTCAAACCAGGCAAATTCCTACACTTAAGAATATTTTGACTCTGCCCTATCGCAATGAATTTGTCCCATTAGTTCTGTCCCTTAAATTACTAAATATTAATGTTGTTTTCAAGTATGACTCAACCATTACCAATATGTTAATAAAAAATAGCCCAAGTTTGAATGTAAATGGAAGTGTTTATTGTATTCCATGTAGCAAATGTAATGGTAATTATGTAGGACAGACAGGAAAAACATTGCAGCTCAGAATCAGTAGAAATAGTGATAACAACCATAAGGCCACAAATGGAATTAAATGCAAACAAAGGAGGAAAATGATTAGTACAGTATTGTACTTTACCTGATAGGAGGGTACCCAGGGCCACTGGTCCATAAGGGGTCCAGATGACACCATTCTCAATGGGGTGGTTGGCTGGTTGGATGTTATCTGGTAATGAGTAACGTGACTGGGCAGCACTCCTTTGAAGTAGAAGATACACAAGTTGATAAAACATAGTCACAGTACATCACTAATATTAAATTTAATTATATATAAGTTTGTTTTAGGTTAGCAACAATGTTCAGATGCACACAGTATATCATCATATAAACAATTTGTAAAAAAGTTGGTAGAAGTATGATAAATCTTTTTTTTTATAAATATTTGTTTGATACTACAGTATTATATGGAGTATTTATGTATACAATATATCCTGCTCAATACATGGTGGCTGAAAACAGGAGCAATTATTTGAAAAATTCTAAAAGATGTGTTCTTCTGCAGTATACTGTATTCTCATTTGACAAGATCCCAGATCTTATTGATTGTATCCTCTTCACCACTTTTCAACTTACAAGCTGGTTGGTTGGTCTGTTCACTATTTTATAAGACTGTACTGTTCTGACTGTTTATACAGGCTATTGAATGTGCCAGAACTTGTGCTAGTCTGGACTTATAGGAGCTCACACTTGCTACTTTTTTATCTGTCGTCTCCACCACCTATCAGCTTATTAGCTGTTGAAACTAGTGATTTATTCTTTGTTACAACCTTCATTGTTCAGTGTTAGTACAAGAGGAAACTGGAGTACCTGCAGTGTTTGGTAGGGTTCACGCTGGATAACATTCTTCTCGCTTCTGATCTGGGCTGGTTATTCCAAGAGTTCAAAACACTTTAGAGTACTGCACTCCAAAGAACTTTGCTCTGTTTTCTGTACTGATAGCTTCCTTGATTTGACTCCAGATATGCACTTGTGATTAAGTAATGCCCTTTTAAGTGCTTATAAACTTCCATTAAATCACCCCTTGCCCTTCTATACATAGTATAACTAAGCAATTGAAGATGGTAAGTGAGGTGACAGAGTACTGGTGTATCTTGGAAATTGAACAAAATTACAGCACAATACTCCAAGTGAGGTAGCACTACAGCACAATTTATAAAAGCCTTATGATAGATGTACCATCTAGGCATGTGTAGGATCTTTGTAAAAGTCCTACTAGGTACTGTAATTCGTAAGGCTCACTTTCTCATTCATTGATTCAAGAACTTTAGTTCATTATCAACATAAGTATATACGTAGACCTATCTCAGGGAAATGTATTCGTCACCTTGGGACATGTCATATATTTCCCAATTATAGGTACCGTTACGTCCAAGGTGCATCATTCACATTTTGCAATGTTATACAGGTACTGTATTTTAGTATTTCTTCCTTTGATCACCCCTGAAGCCAGCAGAACTTTACATAATGCTTCACAGAGTGTTAGATTTTTAATTTGTCTGAATAGTTTAACATCAACTGCAAATATTTGTATGTATGAATGAATAGTATCTGACATACAGTATCATAATTATACAGTATGGAACAAATGAACAACGTTGCTTCAAGCACACTGCTTGTCACAGGTACACAACAATTCCTTACCATTAATCACAACACATTGCAATTAAAAATCTCCAATACATGCTAGGGCATTCCCCCCGAATCCCTTATCATTTTAGATTAATTTTCAATGTTTAGTGAGGTACACTGCCAAATTGGCTAACGAGCCGATCAGTGGTGAAGAGTATAAAAGAAAAGAAAAGAATATTACTGTATTAATATTATCACCATGCTCCAGGATCTGTGACTACACATCCAGCAGCTGCAACAAGCAGAACCATCATAAACCTGTACTGTACTGGCATTCCTTTGAAAGGCTGTTCCATTATACAGTAGATGATCCATCATGTCATCATGTATAATACTCTAGTATTTTACACACTATGCAGGTCAAATTCACTGGTGAGAAAAATCACTCAATGCCATGCTTGCTGCTCATTCAAACATAGCTGCATCCTTCATCTTATCTCTCCAATTCCTCCTTGATCTTCCCCTGTCCCTGCTACCATCCACCTTCAGAATTAACTGTTACTTGGTACATGATGAGAGCAGGACAAAGTAAAAATTTTACAGTGATTAAGAGATAAGAACAAGGACATTACCCAGAATATCCAGAATATCATACACAGCAAAGTGAACTGCAGTATTTGATTGATAAATATACCCAAGACCAATAACCCACTAGCTCCAGGATTATAAGGAGACCATTAAATACGAACCATGCGGCAGTTAACAAAGTCAAGAAAAAATATCCAAGTTTCAAGAGATGGGTCACAATAAAAATAAAATTTTTAGACACAAGTGGGTGTATCAGATCCTAGACTTGAAAATGATTCAATAGTTATGCAGACTCATCAGGACAAGGCAGGTGTGTTAAATAATTCTTTCATCTGTGATCACAAGAGGAAGCTTTCAAGTTTGACTGGGCCTCTGTTGTGATCCTCCTTTGAAACTCTCTTGCAGCCCTTCTACCCTCTGACTTAATTCTTAACCTAGCATTCATCACTGTCCTGCTCATCATCAATGGCAACCCATCTCTTGAAACCCCGATTTTTCTTCATATCTTTAAAACTTAAAAAAAATAGTACTGTACTGTACTGTCATGATTAAATACAGTAACTTATTCTTAAAGATATTTCTTATTACAGTACACAATGACTACTGCTATACCAAATAAATTTGTTTTTTATGTAACTTTGTGTATGAATGTCATCTGAAAATTGATTTTACAAAAAATATGACAATGGTATTAAGAAATGCATAATGGCAATCACCTAAATAGATGATAATTTTAATTTTATTCTCTTCGCTACTGATTGGCTCGTTAGCCGCTTGGGCAGTTAGTCACATCTCTGTTACTCACTGTTGGCAAGTACTGGGCATGCACTGGCTCCTGAATGTACCTGAACCTGCTCCAGTGTTGATCAAGTCTGGTCTTGAAACAGCTTACACTCGGTGCTGTTACAATACACTGGCAGATTGTTCCAAGAGTTGACAATTTGCACTCTGAAAATGTTTGCCCTCACAGTTTTCTGGGCTTGTGGCTTCTTCAGCCTTGAGATGTGACCCCTTCTGGGGTGCACGTCCACCAGCTCCAGGTATGGACACTCAACTGAGTAGTGCCCTCTGAAGTGTTTGTACACTTCAATTAAATTACCCCTTGCCCATCTGTAGTATAAGCTAGGCAGGTGCCATAGTGCAGGCACCAGTTTGGTGGCCCTCCTTTGGACATTTTCAATCAACTGACAGTCTCTAGCATATCTCAGAGACCAGGCAGGGTGACAGTATTCCAGATGGGGAAGCACCTCTCTCTTGAAGATCGTTACGAGGGACGGACTGTCTACATATCTAAATGACCTTCTTATAAGACCTACTGGTTTAGTTGCTTGATTCACCTTCTTCTCACAATGGCCCAAGAACTTCAGTTCATTGTCAACATACACACCCAGGTCCTTTTCACATTCGGTCTTTATTAATGTAGTTTCTTCATCCTGCTGGGACATGTGATACAACTCCTTATCATTGGTATGAGCCAAGTGCATCCTCTTACCCTTCATGACATTGAATTTTAGCAGCCATTTCCTTTGACCATTCTTGAAGCTCAAAGAAATCTTTCTGTAGCTCTTCACAGTCTGTTTGGTTCTGTATTTTCCTGAATAACTTGGCATCATCTGAAAACATTTGTATGGAGGAGTGTATAGCTTCTGGCATGTCATTTATGAAACAAACAAACAAACAACAATGAGCTTAGTGCACTGCCCTGTGGTACCCCACTTGTCACAGATACATATGACGATTTCATGCCATTAATGACCACACACTGCTTGCTCCACACTAGAACACTTCCCTGATTCCCGTATCCTTCCAGTTTAATTCTCAGCTTTTCATGGGGTATGCTGTCGAAAGCCTTGGCAGAATCTAGGTATATAATGTCGATATTACAGCCCTGTTCCAGAATTTGAGTCCAAACATCCAGTACCTTGAATAATTGTGTTAAGCAGGAGTGTCCCAACATAAAACTGTGTTGGCATTCCCTTACAAGGTTGTTTCGTAGTAGATGTTCCATTGTGGCATCTCTTTTAATGCTCTCTGGTACTTTACCCACTATGCTGGTCAGGCTCACTGGTCTATAATTATTCGTGGAATGACGATCACCCTTCTTGAATATAGGACTCACATTAGCCTTTTTCCAATCACTGGGGACCTTTTGCTCATTCAGGCATTTGCAGAACAGGATCTTCAGGGGCTCAGCAAGCTCACTGCTGAACTCTCTTGACACTCTGGGATGCACCATGTCAGGGCCGGGACTCTTATGAACCTTTAGCTTTGAAAATTGATTTCTTATAACCTCGTCTGAGAATACAATGTGGATCAGCGCTGTGTCAAATCATCTATCCTCAAATTCAGGGAGATTGTTTGCATCCTCTCTTGTGGACACCGAAGAAATGAATTTGTTCAATGGCTCTGCATTGTCCTGGTCAGAATCTGCATAACTACCATCTTCAAGCCTCAGGTCCGAGACACCTACTAACATTTTTAATTTTGACTTTGCATAGTGGTAAAAAGCCTTTGGGTTTTACTTGACCTCACTTGCAATTCGTCCCTGGAACTCTTTTTGTCAGCCCTTCTACACTCTGACTTCTCTTGTTTCCTGTCCTGCTAGGTGTTTCAGCATGGCCACCATATCCTCTTTGTTAGTTATGGTGAGGTCCAGCGGTTTGGTTGTCTGCTTCCCTCTAAGGTGAGTTGGATCATTAATATGTTGGAATAGAAAATTGTCTCTTATAGTATCTACAAAAAGAATAGCTGGATTATCAAGGTCATTTGGCGTGGTTTCATTTCTCAAGTCGATGTTGCCATAGTTAAAGTCTCCCATGACAAGGAGGTGGCTAGGATTGAGCACTGTTGCATTGTCAGTTAAGGCTGTTAAGTTCCTTTGGTTTAATAAGCTACAGTTTGATTCTTCAAAAACATCGTCCCCCTACACCCTCACTTGGCTGGCTCTAAGATCTTGCCTATCATATATAACCACACCCCTCTTGCAAGTTGCTTGAGAGAGGTTCATAAATGAGTCATATCCATCTACAGAATATTGAACT